GATCAGGTATCCGGAGTTTACTCACAGGTAGGAAAATTGTCCTCGATATTTGGAAGGCAGGTTTTTGGAAAGAGCCTATTGTGGTATAGTTAAAGAATTCTGGAGAGAAGATGAGGTAATACACGAAACGTTCAGTAATTATAATTATAATTAAAAGTATAATATTTTAATATTTTCCGTCAAATCACAATTTTAATAAGATAATAAAATATAAAATATTTAAAATATCATTTCACGTTCCGCATCGAATGATCGATTTACAAATTGGAACGTCTCTTACGACATGTTTCGGTTATATTTAACCGTCCTCAGGTATAAATTAGATTGGTAAAATTTAAAACTCGAATTACAATCATTTACAATGTTATGCAGTTTATTGTGATTTGACGGAAAATATTAAAATATTAACCTAATTCACAATATGACGCAAATATACTACCTTAAAAGTATAAATAAAACGCCTAAGTAATTTTTAGTGGCTTGCGTAGTGATCATTAAGGAATTTTGGATCTTGTGTAATATTATTTACGAGTGTGTGTGTTCACTACGTTAGATTTCCCGTCATTATTTACGGGTAAGTAATTTACTAGTAGAAAACGTATCTAAATGGCCACCTCTCCCCAGCCTACTCGGTTCAACTACCCTTAGTCTCGGAATCAGATGGAGATGAGTAGTTAATTCGACGTTCCGGCCGCTTTAACCACGAAACCGGAGCCCAGAACTCAATGTTTTAATAACCGTAATAATTTTTGGTCGATAAGTAATCATGTACCTCATTTTCAGTTTCTACCTCCCCCTGTCACTGCCTTCCTGGTGAGTGCGAATCCAAATATTGCCCTCGATGTCCTGTTCTTAAGGACATTCGTTTTCCTCACATTGTCAAAAAATATCATAAGATTTTCTACGAATTTGCTGAATGTAAGTAGAATACAGGGATATTTGGTAGACCATTTAATTTATATCAAAACATAAATTTTTTTTTGTTAATCTGGCGGTGTTTTCAAATAAATATTATTTGTAATAAATGGATATATTTCTGTATAAATTTAAATCTCTTTGTCATAAGGTTAAATATAACCGAAACATGTCGTAAGAGACGTTCCAATTTGTAAATCGATCATTCGATGCGGAACGTGAAATGATATTTTAAATATTTTATATTTTATTATCTTATTAAAAATTGTGATTTGACGTAAAATATTAAAATATTATATCTTTGTCATGTTTTCTGATTATTTAGAAACCTCTAATTCAATTCAACAGAATAGTTCCTAAATTCATTACTTAAAATAAATAAAATCATCTCAAGTAATGTTTGTACGACTTAGAGAGGGAGTCGCTCCCAGCTACTTTTATTACACAAAAATTATATTAACATTTACAATGTATAATATGGGCGTGGGATAGTTTATTATGCATTCTGAAACATTTAATTACTTAATATGGGCTCTTTCTCTACTAAACTATTTAATTAACCGACGTTTTGGAGGATAGGGAGCAGGGCACAACAGAAGACAACCTGAAATCTCAACTAGTACCAATGTTCCGAGGCTGGAATTATTCTGGTCAGACGATTACAAGTCGCTCTAACGAGGAGGTCGCGATTTGCTTTCGCGTGTGGTCCCCGTGAAAAGGCTAATTAATGATTATGAAGAAATAGCCTGTTCTATCTGACTATCTTAAACGTACCAGTCTGAAATCCTAGTTATCTTAGCTTGTCTACAGGCAGGAAAACGGAGAAAACCAGTTACCAGATTTAGGTAATATCGATGGTTTATGTAATCATTCGGCAAAGCGTAAAACAGAATCTGTTAAGATAATTATGTAGGTTGACTTCTTACATCGGCTATATTACGAGACTATTTCCCCGGTCTGTCCGCGGCTTTAAGGTGAATGTAATGTTATCGTTCGCCTTCGCGGATTAGCCGCGTCGAATGTTGAAAAATTATCCAACGTCTTGTCAAGACATTCCAGCTGATATCTTCCACAAATCAAAACCCAATTCGACAATTATTACTTTTCCTACGCATGACGTCAAAAAACGCACCAACCTTCATGCATTCGCCCTGAATATGACAACTGTAATGTTTTTCCCGATGCGTTGAACAATTTTAAACATTCACAGTCGAAAGTCAACGTCGCCTTAGAAGGAGCCTCTAGATGAGGTCTACAGACCTGTGAGACCTACCCGAGGTCGACGATCATAAGAAAGATTTGTAGAAAACCTACAACTGAAGAAACTTTAACAGCTGATAGATATAATTGCGGAAGGTTTAGTGAAATCACGTAACCCTTTCTGTGAAAGCGGACCGGTCTTCCTTAGTCGCTGACAAAAGACTGACTGTTACAGATTGCACTGGGAGAATACAGGAAACAACCATCCACTTTGATTACGAAATTCTAAACTCAATTACATTGTAATAAACATTAACAATTTCGAGGATGGGCGATTGTAATAAGTCTAGGTCTAAATAGGATCTACGTTTTCACGGCGGTGAGTTCAGCGCCGTGTGGTCCTGGTAGGACTTTACCAGTGTTTCAATGGTACTTGCTGTCTCCATCGTCAACAGCAACTGATTTAACACGCCCTATAAATTGCCGGATATTTAATTTATTGAAAACTGTAATTTGGGCATAACTCGTATTGAGTTTCATGAAATGTTTAGACCAACCGAAAAATGTATTTCATCTTCTGTGAGTCTTTGCACAAAGTTCCCTCTTGACAATAATTCTGAGCTTGTTGAATTTTAAAATAATTCGAGCTTACGTGAATGAGCTACTGTACAGACTTCGATTCATTTATCAATAGTCGATGAACTGGTATTGAAAATAGTCCTACAGGTTAATAAATAAGACTTCTGGTGAGTCATAGACGGGGCTTTCTGAAGAGATTAAGTTTGCCATGTTCATTCAAAGTGTTGTCCGGTGTTTTGTAAATGTCACTGAGATTTCTGCAATTACAGATTTTGTGTACATTGAAACACCATAAATTACTCGGTCTTCAAATATAAAAAGAATCGTCAATTTTAAATTAAATAAAAAGTTCACAGGTCAGATGCAGGCCTGATTCAAGAATTAATCTTAAAGTAATTATCACATTCCTGACTACAATGCATGTGGGCAGACAATGTTAAATGCTCTCGTCCTGTCTTCGAGTAAAGGGGTTAATTTGATTCGTTCTCCCTTTGGGTAAAAATAGTTTTTATGAAACCAATTTCACAGTCGACTGACTCTCTCTCTGGTCATTGTCACTGCCTCAGCTGAGAACAAACTTGCACTCCTTTGATATCTCATGTTATAACATGTGGAATAGTTTAGTTACAAAGTTACGAAGTCAGAATCACAGAAATGTTTATCATTCAGATGCTGTAAGATCATGAAGGAAAATTTACTGAATGTCACTACAATTCAGATGCTGTAAGATCATGAAGGAATATTTACTGAATATCACTACGGTTTCATTATGACATATTTAATGTTTAAATCAGTTCATATTATATCTATAAAATATTTTAATATGCTCCCTGAAGTGACAGTTCTACATATATTTTTATAATATCAATAGAAGTTACTGTTCCAGATTATAATGACTTATTATATTCTATTAATATTGATTTTTCATTGGTTATTTGTAGTAATTCATTACGTCTGTACTATACGAACTTATTACAAAGCACATTTGTATTATTACGTTTAGAACTGAACTCCAATACTGAGGAATACAACGATTTCAAAATTTGTGTTATGCATACCCAAAAAACTTTAAAAAAACATAAAAGGAACGAGTATAAACGTTGGTGTTCAGTGCCTTCTCGTTATGAGAAAGGAATTAATCCGAGTTAATTAAATTAAAATATCTACTGAGTGCAACTGCACTCAAAAGAATGCATTTTTTTATTTTTATTGTAAACCCCAAAATTTTCGAATGTAATGAAGGAAGGTTATCCTCACAGGGTAACGTAGGCCTGACGTAATCTCCGTCTCTTGCCCCAAAAAATTATATTCGTCAGAATTCTCAGTTAGAAATTGTAGAACCTAATTATCGTTAAGCTCAGACATGGTTTGTGTTAAACATTCCAAGAGCTCTGGATGTTTTCGTACAGAGAAATTGAATTACATGGAACATTAAAAGACTTCTTCTTAATCTAATATTCTCAGAGGTCTTCAACACTACAAAAATTATAGGCGTATATTTTGCACTTTGAAATTAAGTCTGTAAGAATAATTCTTTTGACATTTTCGTTGGCTTATACGGAAAGCTAATTTTAGTATGGACTTAAGTGGCGAAATTTTTATTTTATGACGTGGAATAAAGACTGATATTAAAATTTAAATTAATATGTAATTTTTTTAATTCTGTCTTCCAAACATAAGGCCATACAAGTCCAACCCAAACCTCGGCGAGCAGGCTTAGGTATATACTTTAGGTGTCTGTATAAATAATAGACATAATAGACTAATTTGAAGTAAGTATTTAGGCTATTAGTTGTGTATACAATGAAACTGACATATTCAATAGTCTGTTATCAGTAATAGGCGTTATTTTGAGGAGATTATATGAACGATGCAGGTCTTCCGTTTTTGGGGGACAAAAATTGAATAAATTCATCTTCTAGGTTAGGTTATGTCTGTCAGTCGATAAATACATCAGCAAAATTAGCCCAACGTTATTTTATGAAAAACAAATTTGTGTTGTGAAATCCGAAACCGAGTTTATAAATCTGTTTCAGACGGGTTTTGAAATCAGGGACACTAAAACAGAATGAAAATTCTATATTAGGAGAATGTAAGCTTATTAAAACTTTGTTTAGATGCTAATGGTCCTACCTTTCTTCGGCGACGTTCCCTCAGACGCACTGTCTTCGGAGAGTTGCATTACCCTCCGTCTGAGGACTCCACCGGAGCCCAGATCCACGGCGGCTCCGGGCTCATGTTGCCGGCTATTTGCCCCCACAACAGACGCTGCCAAAGATGCGAACCGGGGACCCAAAGCTCCATGATGATGCAGAAACCCAGGTGGAACCGCAAATCCTGCGAGACCCATGGGGAATCCTCCAGTCGTCCCTCCGGTCCTGGAAGCTGCGAAATGTGTCGAGGCGTGGAAAAACGGAGGCATGACTGGAGGCCTAGTTAAACACGTGCCGCCCCCGGAGGCGGCAGCAGCCGCTGCAGCGTACAGTTGCAACGGAGGTGGTAACCCGCCCGTCTCCAAGACCATAATCTTCTAATACAGAGCCCCTCTTTTCATGAAAAGGGGCCTTTTTCACACCCCTCGTATGGATTTTCTCACGTCCTGGGCTGCGTGTGGACTGAGATTCGATTCCCGACCATGTTTCTTCTCGTGCAGAAAGGATTCCCCACAGCCGATCAACACAACTCCCACGTGCTCTGCCATCAAAACAGTTTTCTACAGTTCTCTTAGCAACGAGCGTCTATTCTCGGTGTCTAATGCAGCTAATTCATTTCAGAAAAATGTTTTATCTCCTTCAGATTCCACCAGTTTCGTCAGTACAGAAATATCTCATTTTTCAGTTATAATTTTTGTCTGTCTGTCGAGTTAAAAATCTTCTGTTTCGTATTTTCAAAGTTAAGCCTACTTACCCCAAAACACGTGTCTGAGTTTCATTAAGTCGTAGGTAACATTTCATTGCTTTTTTTTGAAAACTTATAACGTCGATGTGTTTTAAAATATTCGAGTTTCTTCAAATTTTCTTCACACACGCGTGACACATCCGCACAGATTTTATTTTATTTTTTTTAAAAAAAAATTGTTTTCGTAATTATAAAAATGAACACTTTAACTCGTTGTTGTACCCGGAGTAACCGGACGATTCCTTTGTAAATATCAGTGTTACGTCGTCGTGTTGAAACTCATTTCTGTCAATTGTTAACGTCCGTTGGCTTCCGTGGAGTTGGAAAGTTTTTTTTTTTAAATTCTCGACTTTTCTCGAAGTCACTAGAAAAAATAATTTTCCCCTACGTTGACACCAAAGGCCGACGTTTTCAGTGCCATCAGAAGGAACTGAGGTACTTCACTTCTCTGCCATCAGAAACTTTGTTTGCTAATGACGACTGAGGAAATCCTTCCCCTCCGTTAGCTCAAACATCCAACCGACACCAATCCCCACTCCTGAGTCTAACTCTCCCCACTACCTTAACGCGATATCAAGAATCCCGACACCGCTATTGGTCCATACAATAACCCCTCCCATTATGGAGACCCCACCTACTTATATTTCCGTTTTCATAACAATTAGAGGCTCCGCCTACTGTGTTTCCGGTTGTCTTTACCAGTTTCGCTGTGACAGGGCGCTAACTAGAGATCAGGTTAGCGAGACAGTGAAAAGAATGTTTTTTCGTGTGTGTTTATTTGCGTAGAAGGCTGTGGGTTAGAAACGGGTGGGAGGAACGATTGCAACATTCAATTAAGGGCGGGGATTGATGACAAGTAGGAGGGGCTGGAAACGATGGCTTCCAATTTGCGTTGTTTCATGTTATTTCTGAAACAAAGAAACATTTCAGACACACGAAACCTTTAAATTGCTGGCATAGAAACATGTAAAGTTATTGAATAAAAATTTCCTTGGATATTATCCATCGTCTAGTAAATATAAAACGTAAAAAACGACGTTTCGGAGATGGGACTCTATCTCCGTCTTCAGGTTCCTACACAGTTGGGCCCACTAGATAGAGCTAATCCCTATCTCCGGACTTTTTCCTTGGATATTATCCATCGTCTAGTAAATATAAAACGTAAAAAACGACGTTTCGGAGATGGGACTCTATCTCCGTCTTCAGGTTCCTACACAGTTGGGCCCACTAGATAGAGCTAATCCCTATCTCCGTCGAATAAAAATTTCCTTGGATATTATCCATCGTCTAGTAAATATAAAACGTAAAAAACGACGTTTCGGAGATGGGACTCTATCTCCGTTATATTTACTAGTCGATGGATAATATCCAAGTAAACTTTTATTCAATTGACTCTTCACCATCGTCAAGAACTTTTAGATTTGATATGTAAAGTTATGTCTTTTTGTCGGAAATACATACATACGTTCTTGTGGAAACAGTTCCTATTTAATAATTTCACTTTAAAACCAAAATATTGGGGGGGGGCTGTATAAATGTGTATGAAATACACACGCCTACTCTTAGAATTTTATTGTATCAGTCACAGAATTGACAGCCATCTTCATACGAAACTTTATTTTTAACAGATTACATTTACGTATATTACCAAAATAAGTTTAATTTTCGTGTTTAAATATTTTAAATTTTGAAAATTCTCTCAGATACTTTAGACCAAAATGTTTTTTTAATCGAATTTTTGGGCATGATACTTCTCGTAAGATTCCCACATTTTAGATAAAATACAGCCGTGTGTTTTAGAAAACGCAATTGTACTCTGTAAGGAGTAAAATCATGTCACGTGTCTAGAAGAGAGAAATGTTCCTTGCCACAGCTGCATCGATTTACGACAAGGACAACTGCAAATGGGAATTTATTTAAAACATTCTGAAAGTAAACTAAACATAGATAATATTGAGAAACAAATATTTTCTATTCATTTTATTTTATTTTCGTGATACGTGGAGAATTGGTTATTACAGCCTCCGCTGAAAAATGATATTTAAATATGCGTCCGATATACAAACAATTTTAATATATTTTAATATATTTTAAATATTTTAAATATTAAATGTTAATTATAGTAATAATATTTTAATATTTAATAAAATATTTTATTGTGATTAGACGGTTAAAATAAACAATTATAATCATAACAATATCATCTCATGATATACAAACAGTTAAACCCAAGCGGACATGTGCCCTTTTACGTCTCAGGCAAACTATCTACAGTTTATCCAATATCACGTTACGAAAAATCCCTGTACGCAACACACGCGTTATTCCCCTGTATTTCATCCTGTAAACCCTTCGCCTTATTTTCTTTTCTCGGTGGTCGCGCGATTTCTCTCGCAGTTCACGTGAAATTTTCGACTAGGCGCAACGGATGATGGATCTGTAGGACGTGACTTGAGTAAGAGCTGAGAGCCGCGGTGTATTGAACACTGCACCAGAACTTATCGAAAGAAAAATGTCCCTTTCTTTTCAACAGCATTTTGCGGTTTCAATAAGATTACATACAATAGACCGAGGCCTTTCTCTGTAGTCAACTTCAATTGATATCAACGTGAATAAATAAGATATAATAGGCTTATTCCGACAAAGTACAGCGGTTGTCTGAATGAGATAGTTGATGTCTGTGCCTGGCTAATAAAATTGATAGTTTGTGGGGAAGTTGGGGTCGGTTCTTGCAAGATCTTTGAGCTCCTGACAAACGAGAAGTCGATTCTGCTTCTGGTCCTCAGACAGGTTGCGTCGCATGTGGAGTTCTTCCTTTAGAATCAGCTGACAGGTCCCAACAATGTCGCACAAGTCGTTATGGTACGACGTCGATCTTCGTGAATGGCCTGCCGAATCTTCGTACCATTTTCGGGCGTTGTGCTCGAAGATGGTCGTCCAGAACGCTCGTCATCATCGACAGAAGTTCGGCCGTTTTTAAAACGTGAATGCCACACAAACGTTTGTGCACGACCCATTGCGGACTCCCCAAATGCTTGCTTTAGCATTTCATAGGTTTCCGTAGCCGTTTTGGCGAGTCTTTGGCAAAATTTGATGCACACGCCATTCCGAAATCGCAGGAGGGTCGGTGTAATGCACTACCAAAACGCCCGTAACTAAGAAACAAATGCTAATTAGATGATGCCGGCTGGCACACCGATTCACTATGAATGTAGGCCGCACCCCTTAGCGGCAGAAGCTCGTACTACATCCGGTTCGCCCTCTATTGACACAGTCTTGAAACTTTCCGATCACACCTCGTACATTCGCCCTGGTTGCGTATACACGAACTCATGACGTCACAGTGATCCATGTTTCGTCTTGTGGACGATCATCGAGTGTTTTCAGACGTTGCTAATCAGATACCTACAGGCTTTATAGTCTGTTGATTAAACCACTCCACCAAGGACGCAGTAAACTCTGAAACGTCGTCCGATTTTTACCAGACAACACGGAGCATACTTAGTTCCTCGGAGGCAAATATCGAGATAGTACCTTAAATTAGGCCACGACCTCTTCCTTACACATTCCTTCGAATTAATATTTCACTATCATCCTCTCATTCGACGGTATATAATCTAATCTAGTGGAAAATCATCGTTAAATACGTAGTAAATAAAATAATAATTACACTGAACAATATCCCACAAGACAGGCAATTTCAAGAAATTACCTGTGTGCAGAGTTTTGGTAGCGAATTGGCTCTATCTTCCTGTGAGTGTGTCGAACCTCTGGATTCTAGTTAGCTATTTAGGTATGTAAAAAAGGTAGTTCGTTACTTAGTCATAAATTGCTAACTAGTTAGCTTTACGTACATCCCCGTCATCCAGAGCGATAACTTCAGAAGTACATCTGGCGATCATTGAAGCTCAGAGTTCAAAGATTATCGGTCCAGACAATAGCTGCATTCACAAGTCCGGATCAGCTGACTCCTTTTCCGTTCCCTCATAACCTCAAAATGCCAGTTTCTCGCTTGTAATGTAATGAATGGCTTTTCTTATTAGTACGTTTTGGTTAAAAGTATCGAAGTTAGTGATTCCGTGAAGGTGTGATATCCGATTCCGAGGCGTATAGAAGGAACGAAGTGTCCTCCTCGTTCGCCGGACCTCAAGCCACCATAACTGACTGGTCACGCATTTAGATGGTCCTCGCTAACAACAGACGTCAACCACGAGTGAAAATATCGATTACTGGTAATATTTCGATATAAATTCATTCATCACCATTCTAAATTCGTCATGAAAATGAGTTTTTTTAATTTTTATAATTTTTATAATAATAGATTTTATTACTGTGAACTACAATTTTGTGAACTACGTCCTACAAGGATCCTTATAGGTGTCAATGCTTGTAACTTTTGCTGTCTTAAGGTTTTATCTTAATAATTAGCCTATAGACGTAATATTTAACACGTAGGACATTTCTGGATTGCAGTCACTGTTTGAGTTTTATCTTAGTTTGATGTATTTTAATCACAGAAAGCTTTGCACGTATAAAAAGACACAGTTTAATCTAATATTGTATATGACACTTGAAGATGGTCAGAGCTGTTAGGAAATAAAAGTTGTGTAGACGGAAAAATATTTATTTGTCTACAATTGTGAATTTATAGAGTAATTTGCATTAGTCTGTGTGTAGGTAGGAAGTCAAGGCCCTCTTTTTGATAATACGCTGTTTCTTAATAATTTCCGGCGAACAAAGAAATCAGCAGAAAAGGAAGGAAACAAAATTTGTAAAATAAATTTTACACTTTTTAGTTAGCAACAACTTTGGAACGTACATCAATTTCCTCCAACTGCTTTTGTTAATAAAAATACGAACATGTACAAAGTAATGAATAAACCTTATGTTGAAAGAAAGGTGCTTACTTTTGACGTCGTCTGCGACCTGTTGCTACGCTTACGAGGTGCGATCGGAAAGTTTCAAGACTGCGCCTATAAAAACCCGTACACTTATCTCAGGTATTAAATTCATCCATTACCCTCGAAGTAGTTCCCCTGGGAGTGAACACAACGATC